GTTTTTGCTCCAATAAGTATCTTTATAATTGAGTTATCTGAGCACATACAGAAAATTAGACAGCTGAACCAAACCACCTTGCGGAAATGGAAAGCCTTTTCTTCCTATGGGTGTCATTGCTACCCTGCTTTTTTGGCAGAAGCACTGAACTCCAGGTATATTTACAGGTGTGGGTGATGTACATCCATCCCCGAAGGGTTAGAAATGAAATCTCAGGGAAAAGAGTATTTCCTATAGATTACTTTGGATAGATACCTTTATTGTTCTCAGTGACTTCCCTTCTATGGATGAGTTATCTGGCAGAAATGCCAGGGCTTGCAACAGAAATTAATTTATTTGCCATCAAGATTTTCTGACAGTCATCTTGCAAATTACTTGGAGCAATGATACGCATGCAGCTTCAGGGAAGCTTCTGGCTCTGTTTAAGTGAATTAAGCATAGCAGTGGGACAGTGCTTCTTCATTCCCAAGACTGAAATCACCACATCCTTTGCTGGGCTTCTTTGTGCAGTTGCCTTGTACCTAGCCTTGGTGCTCAGCCTATTTATCATACACTCAGCTGAACTGAGACAGAACTGTTCAAAGAACTGTTAAACAACTTGTGAAGTAGTGCGAGGTGTGCTATTCCATAGCTCCTTGCAGGGCAAGTAGTGTGAGTCAAGGGAGGTGAAACTTCATACCCTGAATCGTGCATTCAAATGCCACCACCTAGTATCTGTAAGAGGCATTTTCTCCATCAACATAGGTTACAAAAGGCCTCTGCATCTAACAATGTCTTTTTTATAACCACCAAGCAAAGATCATAGGGGGGCAGGGTGAAGATTTTAAAAAAAGAGAGACTCTGCCAATCTGCTTGTCATTTAGAAAAAGCTTAATGCATAAATGTCATGGAAACAAGCTGTTCCTACTGAATAAAACCAATATTGTTCTTCATATTTCTTCCTTCTTAATCTTTCTACTGCAGAGGAAAAAAGAAGACAAATGTTAAACAGTTAAAAGCAAATATTGTCTATGATAGCAGTCTAGCTGTCCATACTTTTTTTTTTTTTGTCTAGTCCTCTTTGAATATTGTATGCTACAGCTAGAGATCTTTGAGCAGAAAGCTGTCAGGTGAAGTAGTTGTTCACATGGACAAACTGTGGGCTGCAGGCAGATGTCCTCGTGCTGCCACCAGACTTCAGGCCATGTCTACATTGTCTGCAGAGATGGCCCATGTCTTCTCCATGGCAGATGTAGTCACGGCCTCCAAAGGACAATTCAGACCTATCCATTGACCACTAATAGAGAGGCCACAAGCTGTGCCAACTGAGGATCAAACCCTCTCTCTGTCCTATTTCTACCTCTCTGAAATTTGTTGTAAAACTAATTTGGAAAGCCTACCCGCTTCTTGCCCATCTCTCTGTTTCCTTTCTGTTGAAAAGAATATCTGCAGTTCTAGAAAAGCCTGTATTTTATGCTTCTGTATTACAGCAATTGCTTCATATTGAAAATAAGTAAATCTGAATCACTAAATACATTTTAGGCTGGAGAAAACAGAATGGAAAGGCAGGAAATATAACCCTGAATATGGGGGTTCTGGAGAAAAGCATTCTATTTCTTATCTCCAATTTTTATGGTTCTTTTTGTGCATTTGGTAACTGAAATAAGCATGGCCTAATTTCCTACCACTGCACTTTTGATACCTGATTAGCTTCACCTGTGTGTAAATTGCAACTAAAAATTGTGAAAGAACACAAAGCCTTCCAGATATTTCTGCATTATCTTCCAAAGTAGCTTGGGAAATAATGGGAAAGCTTCTCTCCATACCTGATCAGGCATGATGTGCTGAGCAGCTGGTAGAAGGTGTTACAGCACCTGACAACCAGGTCAATTCAATAGGCATAGACATTTTCTGGCATGCCTGTGGAATTGGCCTGGCAGTGGTGCCAGCTGAGCTGCCTAAAGTCAACAGACTCCGCAGAGGGTCCTGAGCCCTGCAAAAGCAGGTGATTTCAAGGTGTGTTGAAGCCACAGAGAATGCAATGCCCTTGATTCACCATTATTAACCAAACTGACTGAAAGCTCTGCTTCAAATGAAGCTAATGAAACTAGGTGGCTTTGCTAGAACATTTCAGCATTGGGACTGTCTTCTGAACTCACGTGCTTAGGAACGAATCTGCAGACCTTTTGTCTCACCATCACGTAGCACAAGTGAGAATGAGCTCCAGACAACACAGTTATCAAGAAGGGCTAACTGACATCTCTCCTTGCACCATTTTTTCCCGCTCTCTCATTTTTTTTTTATAAGTAGACTTTAAGGTTTAACCACTTAAAAGCTAAGCTCCTAAATCTCATTGCCCAGGCAGATCACCTTGCTAAGGCATATTGCCTGCGAATCTTGATAACTGGCGCTGCTGGAGTGCTGTTGGTTTAGACCTTGAAAGCAGGCAGTTGTCTGAAAGGGTCCTGATCAGTGGCACAGTGTTACCCTCTGCTCGCAGTGGGGCAGCAGACCTTGTCCTATCCTCACAGCAGTGCCACAGCCTGTCAAAACAAGTGGGGTCTTATCACGCTTGAGAAGTGATAGGGCAAGCATTTTTAAGTCCATAAGACCATTTGAGAAATGTAAGAATGCAGTAAATACAGTGATGTGGGAGGAAGAACGGATGGAGTCATAGTAACCCCCAGGTTACATGCCACTGCCCTGTCAAGGGGGCCATGACTGCCTTCAGGCTGGGTCTTGCTATCTGCTCTCTCGTTACATGCACTGTGCCAGGGGCCTCTCAAGTGCTCTGAGGCCACCTCACCTCGCAGATCAGTACTGGCAGCTCTCTACCAGGGCCGCTGACAGAGGCAGCCACGGTTCCCGGAGCTCAGCAGCTGCTGGAGGAAAATGCATAAAGCAAAGAGTTGAGGGTGGGCGGGAGCAACGGAAGGAGCGTGGGTGGCATGCACTGTTGAGAAACCTTTTAACCAAAGCATGCGCATGAGTGTGTGTGGTAAGTGATGTCTGCAAAAATAAAATCTTGAAACTCTGATCGTTACTGCCATGCTACCTAGTGTGCCACGACTGTTTGAAACTGCAGGTTAAATTTAGGAGTGATTCATGAGATAGATTTCTTGTTCTATACATGTCAAGTTCACAGGCTGACCACTGGACATTTCTAACTTCTCCAGCAGGAATCTGGACTCAATCAATCTGGAGAGGCAGTGCACTGCCACACTTAATTTTGCACAAATTTGTGATATTCAACACATTGTATTAGGTTTTGGGGTTTTTTTAAAGGGCAATTCTGAGTGTGTAAAACTGCTCCTGAAGTTTTTTTTTTTTTTTTGATTTTTGCTTGAGACCACTTGAACCCTCATCTCTTGCAGTTTTTCTGGAGGCTAGGTGTCCATCTTTTGAGACAGTAATCCAGCACAAGATCTTTCAGGTTTTCTCCTCATTTCTATTACAGTATGTAGTTCTTTGTTAAAAAAATCCTGCTTTATTTTTGTGTTATGAGCAGCCCTCATAGTTCTGTAGTAGTTTGACAACTTCTTCATATAAGATGACAGATAGGATTAAACACAAACAGTGTGTCCCTGTTGTTCATTGTCAGGAAATGTAATTGCACAGTCTCTTACTTTTCATCGATATGTATACCTGACTTTCAGACCTGGTGTGAGGCTTTACTTAAGCCTCTTCTAAGTTCTCAAGCCTGTAACTTGTCAGTTCAGCTATTTGAATGTTTTAACGTCAGTATTATTCCTGTTGCCACAAGATATTTGATTGTTTATCTGGACTGGAAATACTCTTCTGCTCAGAGACCTGTTTTGTTGTAACCACCTACCAGAACATGCAGCTTGTCTTTAGATTCAAGATACTTGGAAATGTAGGTTTGGAGGGCAACAAGAGGTCAGAATAGGCATCATTTTAAAGTAGAACTTTTTACTCTAACTAAAAGCTTGTTGCTTGCTTCATGTATAATTGAAAAGAATCCAGATTCTCCTAAATATTTGAAGATAATAATGGGTCTAAGTGAATCTGAATGCAAGGGAAGTCAGCATAAAGCATTTTATGCTTCACTTCTCCCACCTATTTGGTGACTTGCCATGTTAGATTGCAACCGGTACATGCTTGTGCCTCACGGTTTTTCTTGTGCTGCATCTGTGCTGCATATCTTCCATTACGCAGAAAGGCTTTGAAGTTCTCTGAAGGAGAATCTTCTTCATATAAACTCCTGAAAGTTATTGACGTAGTGGATCTTCAACTGTATCACTGTAGTAAAGTCTGTTATACAGCAGCACAGTCATGCTAATTCTGGCAACTGCCTCCATTTTAGCTTTCTCAGAGCATGTCTACACACCCTAGCCCAGAATGTGCTGCCTCCATGTGCTGCACTGCCCAGCTGCAAGAGATTCCTGACAGGGAGTCAAGTGCCTGCATTAGGCTCGGTGCTATGCTAAACTGCAAATCTTGAGGAAAATTGCATACATTACCACAACTCCTCTCTCCCGTTTATTGTGATCATCGTGCACATCAGGATGTTGTGGAGAGATGGGGCTTATTTGCTTCGTGCTGCACTAACTCACCCTATAGTGAGTGAAACCCTGTGGTTTCTGGACCAGAACTGATATGCAGATGGTGAGGCACTCGGGCAGGTCACGGACATATCTGTGCACACCTGACTGCAAACTGTCTCATAAGGATCTTTTTCTTTATTCTCTCAGTCACAGGGAGGGGAAAGATCATTATAGATAGTCCTTACAAGGCTTGGAGAAAAAAGGCTAACAGGCATTACAGATCATTCTTCTCTGCACTTATGTAAACAGGTATAGGATCAGATTCATAAGCCCTGGTTAATTTTATTATCCATACGTGAAATTCCACATACATAAATGGCTGGCTCTGAATGTGTGTAAACTCCATCTTGGGTAGCTAGGAGTGCTGGTGGAGGAAATTAGTGACCATTTTCACTTGGGCATGTAGATATGCTGATGTAGGGGAACGTTTCTGAAAGTAAGACACAGCAGACTCAGTTCTTTACTCCCTTCCCCTCTTTATTTGTCTGCTTCTCACCACTTAATAATTATTTTAAGAGGGGTGACTAAAAAGGACTTTCATTTAAAAAATGAAACAATATGAGCAACAACAGATTTGGCAGATAGAACTGACTTATTAATCAGAAAATCTTCCTTCCGTAGATAAAACTTACCAAGAATTTTTCATAACTTTTAGCTAGGGGAAAAGAGTTTTCAAACAATTTCCATTTGTAGTACTGACGTGGGTAGTAAGTTTTATTCTGAATATTAGACATTAGTATTGAAACCATTTATTCTTTTACGTTTAAATATGCTTTTAGTGTGCAGTGTATCAATTTGAATGTCCACATATGATCTGACATGGAAGGAGTCTTGCAAACTGAGCGGCAGTAAACCAGTATGCCTATCATCTATATTTGACCTTTAATGATGACAGTGATTCAGACCCAGTTTTGGGAGCCACAGTTTTTAAATAGCTCACAAGGAAAGGTATGGATTTCCAGAAGGTGTTTAGAGTTCCTAAACTGAATGCTTTATTTTTAGATAGTAAAGCTCTTTCCGTATCAGATCCATCTTTATGGAGTAGAGGGAGGTAAAGAAAGGCTGAGTTGCACAAGTCTGTCTGGGAAGATCTGCAGGCTTGCAACAGATACTGATTTGTTGAATTAAGAACTGCAGACCATTTGCAAGTATAGAATCTGTGAATGTATTATTCTGATCCTGCAAAATGTAATTTAAAAATACTATTTAAATCAATGTCCTTAGTCTAAGCATGGTGAAAAAGCCTATTTGTGATCTTACATTTCAGTCCTTATAGGCAAGGTATCTTTGCTAAGTGTCATTAAAAATGCAGGGACTAGCAACAAAACTCCAAAGTAACTGATAAACAGAATCGATGTCTGGAATGCAGTGAAAAGCAGTTCAGTAGCAACTGAAAACTGAGTTTTCGTATTGGTGAGACTAAATCAAGAGATGCATGAAGCTTTTCAACTGTAACATGGTAAAGATGCCATATATTTTGAGAAAGATTCCTTGTAGTTTGTAAACAATCTTTGAAAGAAAAAATATATTTAACTGCACAAGCAGTTTCAGAGATCTGTCATAATGCTGCTTTTTCCTTTTGGCGAGCTCATACATTGAACATGGTGAAGGAGCTTAAGTTTTGGAAATAAAAAGTCAGTAATTGAGTTTGTGGTACTACAAAACTCAAACAAGGAAAGATTAAACAGAGTTTTGTATCAGGAATAAGAAAATCAAACCCATACTGCTTTGTGCTCTCCTGAATATAAGCTAATATCTGTCTTTTATTCAGCTGGCACTTAGGTGCTTTTCAAAACCGGGTACTAGAAGAAAAGAATCATCAGTACCAAAAATGCAGACAAAGTATTTGCAGTGAGCTTTAGAGTAAATTAAGAAATTGGAGTATTCCACGTTGTCATAAATTGTTGTTTGCTTTAAAAACAAAGGAATCCAAAATAATCTGGCAGATTGTTACAGAACCCTACTGATGGGGATAGTCCTCATACATCTCATAGTCCTGCCTGCATAAAGCTGTTGCAAGAATTTAGTAGGTTCAGGCTCCTGATTTCTACTGTGTAAAAGAAATTGAGAGGTCAAAGATGACAGTTTTTTTTTCACATCAGAATAAACCACCTCAGTACTTAAAGCTAGATCTTAATTCAAATTTAACAGATTGGCAAGCTACAATTGGAGCTACAATCCAGAGAAAAAAAAATAGGTCTTACAAATATAAAAAAGATGTTATAAACAATGAAAGAGCTAGTTCAAGCTGACAGGACAAAAAGGAATGTTTTCAAGCTACAGCAAGTGTATTTCACATTCAATGACAGGAAAAACATTCTAAATTAAACACAAACAGTGGGACAACAGACAAATAAAAATCTTCAAAAAAAGAACTCTGAAACTTGACTATTAAATTCCAATATTATTAATCACTACTTCCTGATCCTGCCAACACTGTAAAGAGAGTGGCCTCATGACCACTCAAAATCTCATCTAGTTTAGGACTGGACTAGTACAGTATTAGCACTATATAATATCCATTTTTCCTTTGGAAATTAACTTCATAAAAACAAAATGCATACTGCTTATTATTTCCAGTCACAAAATATCACAGTCTGTAAACAAGGCACTCCAAAGGCATGCAACTCTCCTGCTTATCTACAGGAAAAAAGTACTGCAAAGTCATCATCTTTCTCAAGGACATAAAAAGTGTTGGACAAACTCTTAACTTCTTCATAAACAAGCAATGCCTCTGGATGGAACTTATATTCATCAGTTATGTATTTTGTATCCCCAAAAAAAGCAGACCCTTTATTTTAAATAGGCCTAAAGTGTCTGCTCTGTTTCACTTTATGTATTTGGTTTGGGAACTTTCAGGTGCTGGGGAGAACAGCTCTTCTGTCTTATCCAGCACGGCTCTACCCTGATTTCTGCATCACTATCTTCCCTGCCTGTCACTACTGAGCAGAACTCACAATGTCTCATGGAACAATCAGCATTTCCTTCAATGTGCATGTTAGTTACTTCTAGGCAGACATTAGTATTCCTCAGAAACAGTCCGCCATGCCTCTTGTCTTACTTAGCTATAGTGTCACCCTTGTCCGTAAATCGGAAGAAGGGGACAGGACTAGTATATTTCATAAATAGCAAGTACTATAAAATATTTCATAAAGTCAAATAATCCCCTTTTTATAATTAGGAATTGTGAATGCAAGTTGTATGTGCTGAGCGTTTATGCTTATCTAGTTTTGCTATGCTGGAATATAATCCAGGAGGAAAATCAGCCAGAAGTTTTTCACAAATGTGTACACTATACTTTGTGGTTTTTTTTTTTTTAAGAAAGCAGATATAATAAAGGAGAACTTGTTATTTGTGCATGAAAGTAAAGTACCACAGATACCCCACTGCCATAACTCCAGTCTACATCAGGGTTTTTTTTTTTTTTTTTTTACAACAGTTTTTGGAAATATTGCTAAGTGTCTTGCTAAACTTGACTGCATAGTAGAAACCATGGGGATTATCCAAACATAATGTATACAGAACACTGTGCTGATATCACGCAACTGTGTATACTATAACTCTGTGTGTCAGTCATTCACTCCAGAAAAATTACACACAAAAAAAGGAGTGGAGTAAGTAGCAACCTAACACTTTCAAAAACCAGACAGCATTAATGGGAGACTTCCAGACTGAAAGTGATGCTTCTGTCTGGACATACTTACCTGGCATAATTATGAGAGTCTGAATAAATGAACAGGACATTACCTGTGCTTTTTGCATGCCAGTCACGTTACAAATAGTCAGTTTAAAAGATCTTTGCCATGGGCATTGCATAAATAATTTTATATACATATGTATGTATATATATTATCTATGTATGTGCGTACAAATGCATGTTAAACAAAAGCCTAGAAGATTTAAAAAACCCATAGCATACTTCTTCGTAACTTATTTTCTAGGATAAACTATGTTTTTAATTAATCACTTCAGAAATCGAAGCTGTCAGTGACCTTTTAAAATGACTATACATATACAGCACACTGTTAGATGAATATGGATTTTTTTTCCCCCTCCACTGCAAGCAAAGTTTAGTGAATTAGTTTTTATACTGAGAGATAATTATTAAGCTTCAATTTTGTTTCTTAAAGGTTTATAATTAGGTCTTTTGATTATGAGTTTTTTTTTAGTTGTTAAATTCAAGTAACCAAGCAACTATGTGCAGAAATTAACCTTTTTATTATATTATACTGTAGTAGTAAATTTTGTTTGAAGTGCATGAATAAAAAGTTAGTGAAATTACAGGAGGAACAATCTAATATAGCAATAATAGGTGCATTCACTGTGCATCTGAGAGGAGGAGGGGGGAAAAAAGAAGAGTTCTCACTCATTTTGGCCTAAAATGTGTTCAGGTTTCCAGGATTCTGACATCAGAACCCAGATAACACTGGTTAGAACCATAGGGCTTTACAATAAAAGCTAAAATATTGACCATATGATGGCAAAAAGTCTTTATTTTGTGGTTAACTTATTCTCTTCTAGCTACTCTCTGATGAAGTTGGTGGTGCTGTGGAGGATGATCTCCTTCTTCTTGACAAAGATCGTGATCGTTCAGCACTGTAGGCAACATGCTTGTCATAATTTTGTAACTGAGCCTCGAGGAAATCCCTCTGTTGCTGGCTGATTGTCTGGCTAATCAGTCCAGGGAGAGCTTGAATGCTACCAATTAAAGTTTCCAGTTTAGTTTCCAGAGTAACAATTCTCTTCTCAAAATCTTCACTTCTTTCATTTAAGTCAGAAATCATGTCATACATGATGTTTTGAGTCTGAAAGTAGAAGGATGTAAACAAAGGTTTAGAGATAACTTACAAATATTGTAACAAGCAGCACAACTCTACAAAGGTTTGTAAATGTTTTTGCACTTCAAATAAAGAAAAAAAGGATATGAATATTATAACAATATCTAGTATTGTGAAATAATTATTCTTGTAGATTCAGAATAAACTTTCTATTAAATTTGTTGAGCAGAAATGTAATATATTTTGAGTAGCACTTTAGATGTCAAGGTCTAAATGAATTATACAAAAGACCAGAGCTGTTTAGGAAGTTGAGGCGCTTAGAAATGCATCATGCTAAGCTTTTTGAACAGTCTGTTGTGTAAACCACCAGGAGACTGAAGGCTCCAAAGCTGTGATCCATCCTTGACTCTTCTGTATTTCCTCTGGTTTAAACACCCTCATTCTTCTAAGCAGAACACAAATATTGTTCATTTGCTTTCTCCTTGAACTGACCAGGCTTTCTTGAACTTGCTGTAGTAAGAGTAGTTGGGTGGACTGTTTTAGAAATGTAGTACGAGAAGTAAAAAGTCAGTTGTATGCTTTACTACTTCTGCATTCCCAATCTATCTGCCCTCTACAAAACAGTGTTTGGTTATAGCAAGTATATAGGGTGTACTTTAAAACGCCATAGTGGTCGGTAAAAATGTAATCTGAAATGTGTTATTTTACAGAGACTTGGAACTAGTTTGAAATACTGGCTGAATTTCTCCCTCTGATAGACTGAGACTTCAGATTAAACAATAGTCAAAACTGGATGTAGATCAGTAGACAAATTAGTTGAATTTTATAAACTATCCAAAGGGAATGAAAATTAATTGAATGACTGCTTGAAGTATAAAGTACTTCAGTATCAGATGAGTGTCGATAACCCATTTCTCTGCCACCTGTTTTGAGATGCTAACACAACCCCTGAAAGCAAAGTAGTCTACATTAAATAGTATCTGAAAAGTCCTTATCAGTTGCAAGAAGCATTAGACTGAAATGTATTTCCAGCAACTGAAGTTGTCAGGCGACTCTCTACAGCAAAAGGGGAATGAACACTGAAAGTTTAATCTTTGCTCTGATGCACTTTAAATTGAGGAGCGTTTTGAGGTACAGGAGGAGGCGTACAAGGAACCCTTAGGAAAAGGCCATTAATGACTTTAATGTATCCTCAAATTAAGATCAAAGTAACTGCTAAATACTGACATCTAATGTGAAACCAGGAATGCTATCGGCTTAGCCCTCTAACTCTTCAGTTATTATTTTATATTAATGAAAAATCCCAGCAACAGTGGACAAGCAGTCTTCAACTGAATAGCCTCTTTTACCTCATCTCAAATGGCTTAATAAATATTAATAAAGCCTTATGATATATCGGCAAAGTAGGCATCTATTATTAATTTAAAAACTTAAATAAATGCAGATCTAAATTTACTTGTCCAAAGTCACTGATGCCTAAGACAACAGGAATAGAGAATCAGAACCTCTAATTCCAGTCTTCATGAGGGCCTGTGTACTATGGATCATCACAGCACAGTCACTGTCACCGGACAGAAAATCTCTTTACTATGCAACACTACACTACCATAGCCCACACACAGTTCAGCATTTACCATGACCACTGAAGTCACTTCAGGAGCTCTCAGGATCAGCCTCTCAATTGTGAAATCTTTTTCAAATGTACAGAAAAAAAAAAAAAAATGGTGCATTCAAACTTTGGTCAGAGCCATAAACACGATGGTTCATTCAGTAAGTGCTACCACAAAACACACATGTGTTTTAATTTTCTACAAACAACTAACTTGTTAACAATATCTGCATGTAAAATGCATAACATTTTCACTTACAAACTCTTCATTTTGAAAGGATGAATGTTAAAACAACAGTAATTATCTACTAACCTTTGCCAGGTCCACCAACGTGTTGGCTTGATCATTCAGTTTCCTTTGTTCCATTTTTACACTTCTTAATCTAAAAAGTGGAATTTCAAGTCAGATTTTTTCTGTGTATGTGGTCATATTAGGATTTCTAAAAAGCATGCACAAAACTTACAAGAGCAAATAATTGCATGGACAATGCCTTAAATACTTTGTGTAAAGTCAGATTTGGTCATGTGCCTGCTACAATGAGAAGCATGCTTCTTCAACACCGCAAAAAAGGAAATAGCAAGGAAATGTGATGTCCTTGAGAATACCATTTGCCATGGTCAAAGTTGAATTCAGAAAGGGAGATAACAATTTATCCAGACTAAATGAAAGAAAGCCAAAACATTCCTCAAAGCCTCAGTATCGTGACAAGTAGATATGGGAAGAAACATAGAACAACTGGTTTTCTTCATTAGTGTCATAGCAATTAAGAATCTTCCCATGCCTACATGACTAGATACAGGTATTAGCCCTGTTCTGTCGGAAATGGATTGGGTTAGCAGGTGTTTGAACCTGATGGAAATACAGTGATAAGTGAGTTTCTCATTACTTTAAATAGAACTTCCATCTGACCAGCAGCTAAATAACCAACATACTTGCCAAGACATTTGATTTTCTTACATAATTTGTGAATGTAAATACAATTACATTTTAAACCTACATGAGACATTCCTTTTCAATGAGCTATTTAAACTACAGCATTGAAAAACTATGAAGAAAGCAGCAAGGTTATCTTTTTTTCTTTGATGCCTACCTATTTGCATTATTATTAGTTATGCATATTCTGTGAAAGATACATATATGACCTTTTTTATGTGTTCCCCGAAACAAAGTCCACGTTCTTCAGATTAACTACTAGAGGAGTGGTTTGTAGATCACGACAAATACGCAATTTATCCCTTAAGCATGAGTCACTTGTTCATCTTTTCCCAACAGAGAAACACGTGGACTTTCAATGACTTTTCTGGTGGCTGTTCTAATCAGGAAGTAGCATTTTTCAAAAACAACATACCAGTTTATAAACAATGCATAGTAAGATACTATGCAGTCTACTAGTATGTGAAGGGCCAACCAAACTACCCATTCGATTAGCTGTCAAATGAAATTAAGTTCAGCATCATTTTGTTGCAGGTGCGTTGCTAAATGCATATTCTGCCTATTTCTTAGTGATGGTGTTACTTAGAAAGCTAGTTTAAAGAAAGTCTTATTGGAGATATTCCAAAATCAGGACATTTCTGTTCGTATCTTTAGTTACCAAGCATTTCCTTTCATATCTAAGCTAACCTCTATGAGAAAATAAGTTGTGAAGAGTGAAATACCTTTTAAAACACAAGGACATAATTCTGTTAAGGTAGAAATCAACTATTCACATAAAATTGACATTCCAGTGGCTTGTTACTGGAATGTCAAATGTTGTTCCTCCCCTGGAGGCTTCCTTCAGAGCACAACATAAATGCAGACTGTATGAACAGTGCTTTCAGAACCTATGAGCTGGAGCTATTCTAAAGCAAAAAATATGGAGACATCTCCAAGGTAAGGAGTTATATCATTAGTCTCAGAATAGAGTAAGTATTCAAACGTAAGCATGTAATGATTTGACTGGAGAACAATAACCCTATTGTTTTGGTAAGCATCTCTCAATTAATTTGCAGAATATATGTTTTCTGCTTAAGATTCATTGACTCACCTGTTTGCCAGCTGGTATTTTAATTTCAAAATTCCAAGAAATCCATTGTTATTGTAGCAATACATGTACCAGCTGACACCAACATGGTACTTCCTCACGGCAATCAACCCAATACTTATCACAAGCTGTAAAAATGCAACACTAGGTAATGGCAAGTCTTTAGCTGCAGCGGCCAGATTTAAAGAAAACTGTCAGACTTTTGTTCCTAAATTCATTAAGAGTAAATATGAAACATCTTGATTTTACGAACTTCACTTATCACAGCAAAAGATCATGACTCTGGATCGTGTTTCCATGGTAGCAATCAGACCACTGAGGTTCACAAATAAAGACTTTATTTTTTGCATGCAGACAGTGGTAAATTCTGCAAATTTAGAAAGGAACAGCTTATACAACTTACTTCCGAGCTCTATTTTCATTTTGTTGAAATAAAAAGACAAAACAAAAGAAAACAAACTGTAAAATATACTAAAACAACCAAATGAGCACAGTGGGCTCAACTGAGCAGGTGGAAAGTCCTCAGGAGATGCTACTTCTTTCAATCAGTAACTGCCTGAGGTAGAGTCTAACTCACTTGCATTAATGATGAAAGAACCTGCAATAGCTTCAAACCTTCCCGTTAACTATAATCAGTAGATTTTATTATTCATACAATACATAAATGCTTTTTAATAGTATCATTTAGAGTGATGATTTCACCTTCATCATATTTAGTATGCATGAGAAGCCAAAAAGACCCAGACCAGCTGAAGGCAGTTTTAGTGCTCTGACTGTACAGAGTTTGAGACTGTTACTATAATCTACTCTGGTTTCTTGTATGAAACTGGCCCTAAAACTTCACTGCTTTTATTTCTGTCTTCAGTGAAATGGTTGGAAAAGTGAAGGAGGGGGGACCAACAAAAAACTAAGAATCTGTAAAGACAGAAAAGAGCCATATACTACCATGAATCATTTGAGAAAAGATCAAAGATGCAAAGGGAAAAAAAATAATTTGCACCCATCTAATCTTCTACAGCTGGAAGAAAATAAACTGCTAGAGAAATGTCTTTATCCATGGCACATTTTTCAGCATATTGAGAAAATTATCCTTTATTTTAAATTTTTTCTTTTTGCTTAAATACAAAAGTTTTGGGAATGGGATGCAAAGTGCTAAAGGACAGGGGGAAATGCATTATTAAGACAGCTGTTCAAAGTTTGGCTGTCACAGCCAGGAAAAAATTACTGTTGCCACATTCTTCACCCTACCCAATTAATGAATTTTTAAGGCAGGTACAGAACAACACTTTACATCCTGTAAAACTCTTCTGGGCTTGAATGATATATAAAGCTGCAGATCAAGTCTGCTGTGCTTTTTAGATTCTTCTTTGAACGTGTGTGTGCAAGCACACACACAAAATAAATAGCAAAGTTAAAATGTTAAGGAGTAACCTTTACAATCAAGGATTCAAGTCCAGCAAAGGATGCACAGGACATGCTATTATCTACCCTAGAACTCCCACCACTCCACCTCCCAATCCATCCTTTAAACCAAGCAGGATGACCAAACTGGGAAAATATACTTTTTATATCCATATGAAAGTGCTTTAACTTTTGTCACCTTTTTATTCCTTAAAGTATTTCTGTAATAGCACAGTAACATTTAATCCTGCAAGTTTGCTAAATATAATAGAGTAATCAAGGTTTGTAGAATACTTCATACCTTAAGCTTAGCTACTCATTTGTTTAAAACACTGCTGTGAAACAGAGAAATGACTATTTGACTAAATTTACTAACAGGAAGTACGATAACCTGGTCTTTCCTTCTTGTCTTTCCTGAAAGGTGACACAAGAAGTTTTTCTTTTCATGATGGATGCTTCCCTCACACCCCCACACAGGTTGACTCAGACACAGACCTACACTCAAAAGTTACCAAAACATCAGTTCGAAATTAAACTTAATTTATCTGCATCTAACCAGTATCTCATGGAAACTAATTTCATAGGCTGTATAAATGGCTGCCTCAAGATGGATGGGGACACTGAATACAGCTGACGACAAACAGTGGCATGGGTCCTGACCATTTCTCAAGAAGAATCTGTGGTTCCTGGGGACAAAAGTCTCCTTTTTCTCCACTGTAGTCCAAAGAAGAGTAACTGAATCATTATGCAGTTCTGCTGGTTTTGATGTGCTTTATGACAAATATGTATTATGAATTTTCAGCTTAATCCTACTACTGGTTACAGTTCTCAGGCTTGTTTTCAACCACTTAAGATTTCAGTAAAGGGGAATAACTAATCTGAATCATGCCAGAGGTGCTCAAAGGTCACACAATGACTGCTGGCATATGCTCCCATTTTCTAGAATGGATGTAAGGCATCATAGCTGACATATCAACATTTGATTTTAAGCACCAAGAATATATGGTGGAGAGAGAGGCAACTAATTGCTGTTGGGTTGTTCAATGACACTTGATGCACATTCTTTTCTTTAAACACTATATCCATACTCACAGGCTCTCTTCTATCACATCATTCTGACTTTAAATTATTAAAACGTCTACTACAAATGAAACTTTTTTCATTTTCTTCTGTCTGTTGTAGCTTGTATCTTACTACCTGTAAGCAAATATGTATTGACAAAGGACAGTCTCAGTGGCAAAAGACAAAAAAAAGCCTCAGATAATTCAAGAAGCATGGGAAACTTTTACAAAAATATAAACAAGTTTGATTCACCCCATATTGGATATACACAGCCAGCATGGTTTTTATTTTTTTCTGGAAACAGGTAACACAGTAAAACCTTGTCTTTGTCTTATTCTTAGAGAAAAAACAATCTCAAGAGCAATGCTCTGCAAAGGAGGGGAGGGGGGAAGAGAAGGGAGGGGGCAGGATGGGACATGGGGACTAAGAGTGACTATGAGAGAGAGGGAAACTAAGAGAGAAAACACCTGAAGAAGAAAACCAAATCAAAAAGGTACTTACTGATGAATAGCTTGCAAGAATTTGCGCTGATGTTTCCTTACTTTCGCATGATCTATCTTTTTAACCAGTTTGGTGTTTTTATAAATTAACCATGTTTCCCTGAGTACATTGGCCGCTGCATTTTTCACCTGTTTAATAAAAGAAAAACACCAGGCTGACAAAAGTAGCATTATGTCATACTTTCTCTTTTATGGTATAAGCTCTTTCTGAAGCATTTAAGAATCTGCCTAGTTGTGAGAAGTGGGTACACAAAGGAGCTGCAGCACTGAGGGCAGAAAGCAATAACTAGACCAAGGGGACTGCTGAGTGATTTCCACATCCCATGATACTGGGACCAGCTGTCTTTGCACTGGGGAATAATTTGTCCCTCTTTAAAGAGCTAGCACCTTTTGGTGTTTATGGGAGTACAAATTACAGTGAGGAAACACTCATGCATTATTTCTATGGTAATTAACTAACTGTATTTAATAGGATCATAAAATTTTTCTCCTTGTTCTATGATTAGTACCTCTTAATTCTCTTAGCAATTTAACACTCTTAAATTTCCAGAGCTGTCTGAACGTACTTTTTTCCTTTTTTTTTCTTTTGTTTGTATTTTTATTCTTGTTTCTTGTTTACCATTCTCCAAGCAGATGAAAAAATATCTTGTCAATTAATGTGGCCAGTGTTCTATTTCATAAGTGCTTTGAATTTTGTTTTTAATGAGGCCTTCCATAAAATGTTAGAGTACCTACAGTTCCTTCTTATGCCCTCCAAAATTTCCAAGAATGCTTGAAAACAACAAAGAATTTCAATACAATGTTGATTAATGACAGAATGACTAGGTTACTTCCAAAGGAAATCTGTCCTTATTATTCATCTTTATTTTCTCTCCCTCCGACTTTATATGATGCCAATCACTGCAGCATCAGAGCTAAGTCAATGCCTAGGTAAAGGCATTGCAGGAATGACATACAGTAGCTCTTCCCAGCAAGAGGTTCCCACTTCGTACCTGTAGAAGTGTTGGAGTACCTTGCTCCTGACTTTGCTCAAAACACAATCACATTTTAGAGACCTCCTCACAATCTCTACCTAGTCTTTGCATTTCCATAAGGTATGGCTATCTTCAGGCTGTGAGGAAACCTCTCCAGTATCTGTTTAACTGATTTGTGACCTGATATGCATCTCAGATTGGCTTTCTTGGTTTGTTTTGTATGCTTGTTTTTTTGTGTGCTTTGATTTTCATGAGTTTGAAGCTACCACAGCACAACTTGGATACAGTATTAGCCTGATACTTAGATTCAGATGAAGGATATCTGAATAAAATAAGCTTTAAAAGGCAGAAGTGAACACCAGACTCAAAATCTGGCCAGTGTTTACAAAACCTTTTTCCCTCCCGAAAGACACTTTGAGCTCAGCTGTCAGATTACTCTAGAAAAGTGCCTGTGTTAGGAAGAGACAAATTGTTGTCTGTGGTCTAGTATCAACAAGACCTTAACTGACTATAATAGGAGTGCAAATCAACAAGCTCAGCTAGAGACCTCAAGTCAGACCCCCCTTACACCTAAGACCTGCCTTCCCACTCACCCTTAGCCTCTTCCCACCAGGACTGCTTAGGGGAGACTGGCTGTTAGTGGTGACCAGCATAGAAACAAGGGAGACAGCAAAACCCGAGCGGTGTGCTGATGTGTCCTGGAAACACAGCGACCTGGGCAGGGCCCTCTGCAGCGGGGCAGCTGTGGCAGCACCGCACCCCACCGCTGCACGGAGCTGTGCCGAGGAGCCAACCTCCCTCCCGCCCGGAGCAGAGTCGGTGTTTCCCATTCAGGCACCGACATCCTGCTCCACCACCCATCAGTAAGGACAAACTCTGCTGAGTTCCTGTTGTGAATGTAAGGGGCTGCCTCTCCACGCTGGCTCTTCTCAATAACGAAGAGAAAACAAGATGAGAGGACTGTGTAGCTCCTACTCATTCTCTCATTCCCTCAACACTGATGTGTTTCATTTCAGTAAAGGATTTCTGTTGCCTTGTTTGCCGCGTTCTTTCATTTTCCAAGATGCTATTGTAATTTAAATTATATTTCATGAGGAAAAATTTAAAATATTTTTATGATTTCTAATGATTTCTAGAGTGTTTTTAAAAATAATCTCTTCTAAAACTATTATTATCTACAAGCATCTTTCAAGGCACTTCAGTACTGTGTGCCACTAAGTGGACCCTGTCTCCGGTACACACAGCTATTGGAAAGACTGTCTCACTCGCAAACTATGAATATGTCTTTTTCTTAAGAATGTCCTTCATACCTTGAAATTCTTGTATATATCAGCCATTTCACCTATTTTAGCTACAAAAACTTTATATATTCTTCTCATATAGTGAGTGAAAGTTTTTTAGTTTAATATAATAGTGTTTAGGTTCACAGCATGTAGCTGTTGGTTATACCAACTACCTTCCAGCTGCAAGGACCCTCTATAGAGAAGAATATTAAATCCTCCAAATCTGCTGTGAACTTGCAGTTGCCCTCAATTCAGAGAAAAGCTCAAGGTACTTGATTCCTTCTCTTTGCCAAACCACACCCGTGAAAAAGTTCAGTAGGAGAATGGAGCAGGAGACTATTTAGAACAAATGCAGAAACAAATTAACATACATTTCCTTTTCAGTTGTGAATATAAAGTGTGACTTACTCTTTTAGTTAGCTGGGTGTCCATCATGAAATTATGCACATGTTTTTCAGCTTTGGTAAGTTCTAACTTCCTTGCCACCACAGCTACCACCAGTGCAGTGCACCCAGCACCCTGAAAACAATAAAACAAACCCCCAAGATGTTACTTCTGCATTTTGCAGAGTTTTTAGTGGAAGTTTCTCCTTTGTTGTAGAAGTATGGCAGGTATCAGGTGATTCATTCCTGGTAAATATAATGAACACGCTACTTCTATTTCAGTCCAGAGTAATAGGAAAAGTCAGTAATTACAGGCTGGTAAACTGTCAAGGCATCAAAATAATTAGTGAGCAGCATCATTTAAAAGTCCTGCTTTTTTTCCTGCAAGGTTTGAAAATTTGAATACGTCCCATTTCTAGTGCATAAACAAAGGGGGTGACCAAAACAACTTTGAAACCCCTGAATATTAGTAAATAAATGCAGAATGCCCTGTTCTTAACAATTGTCTCAAAGTCACAGCAATTGCTAAAGAGGAAATAAGATTAGATTAGTATTTAGCACACAAAAAAAGCAAAGTTTCTTAGGATTTTCTGTAGGGCCTAAAAATAATAGAAGAATTTAGTATTTAATCACTTTAATATACTTCCTGGTTGTTCTGAGTCCTTCAACAATCTTTTCCAGTGGTATTTCTGCTTATCTTATTACCATCTCAACCAGCACATACACAAGACCATTCCTTCTTGCATGTGAACACACATGGTCACAATAGCTTAAAGACAGTAGATGCCTGTCCCTTTGAAATGACAGTGCCTTTATTAGCATCACAAATTTAAATGATTTTTTGAGGGGGGAGAAAAGGAAAGGAGGCTAAAATGAGCCAGGTAATGAGAAGTAGCATCTATTGCACACATCTAGAGGTATCATTTACTTTACACTATTAATAAATTCTGCTGGTTTAGTCTTTTTTTTTTTTCAACTTGCAGGTTCATCCCAATCTAGTTGTTACTGCGCCGGTGTCAGTTACTCTCCTGTATAAGGCAATATCTTGTTGCACATTGAAACTTACCACATTTTCATTCACAGAGTTTTCTTCCACTCTTTCTGTATTTCTCCCATTAATTTACTTTCTTTCTATTCCCTACCTCTATAACTGCCTTGCACTCTCCAGAAAAGCCGTAAGAAATCTCTTAATCTAGCTTCCAAAATACAAATTCCATTAATGAACATATAGAGACTGCAAAATAAAGTAACTCATTGGAAATCCTTATTCACGTAGTGTCCTCAGAAAAAATGAATCTGCTCTCTCTGCTTACTTACTGACAAACACAATGAATTTTGTGAAAGTCTCCAATTAATTCTGCATTCCCCTGGTAGATTGTTCCAAGAAATCCATCTGCTCCCTCACAAACATCTAATTCTCTGCAATTAGGTCTCACCTATCAAAGCTTCTATTCCCAACAGCTCTCAACATTTCCTTGAACGAGTTCCTCATAATTTTGCTGCATTTCCTGCTTCTTTCCTGTCCTCAATTTTAGGGCTTCCTAGCTTTGCTGTTCCCTCTCCCTCCATTCTCCAACCCTGTGTCGATAAGAATTCATGGAAATTTACTTTAAGTCTTGCTCTCTACATGAGATGTGTCAAAACGAGGCTGTAAATTCCTTCGCTTCTTTAGATCCCACTAAGAGTTAAAAAAGAAGACAGCTAGTGCAGCTTAAGGCTGAGCACTTCAGAAATGCACTGAATCTTCTGAGAAGAGGACTAGGCAGGAGATGCTCCCCATATGCCCTACATCCCCAGAAAACAGGAGCTCTCCTTTGGTCTTCTTCCTGTCAAGGAGGGCAGGAGGGAAGTGCTAATATGCAGGAGACATCTCTGCAGGCAAATAAATAAATAAATTACCCCACACAATAGCAAGAACATGAAGAGAAAAACAGACATCTTTTGGCCTAGTATGTCAGGATAACCGGGACCAGATGCTGATTTAATTATGTAACTTGAGTTCAGCCTGCTTACAGCAAGAATGCTAAAACGGAATGAGATTATTAATACAGACACCACTGGCAAGGAGGCACAAAGCAGCTGTTTATGCCAAGTTACCAAGGGAGAGAAATATTAGATCTCCCTTCCTAGTCCCCCCTCCCGCCAAAAGACTGGAGGAATAGTGACAGACAAAAGGAATGTGGTTTGAGTTGAAATTATTCCAGCCTTTGTAATTAACTCTCACGATTTTTTAGAATGGCACAGCAGTTAGAAGGGCCAAACCCTGTCAAAACCAGTAGCTTTATATCTCACATGAATGATGCTGCCTGGAGCAGGAGATTACTGTCACCAGCAAGCCACAACAACCACCTCTATTGGTGTATATGCGCTCTTATCTTCCCTATCTCTAGAACAGATTTTAAGGACACTCAGAACTTCCAGTATGTCAAAATTTGAGGAAAAAGAAAATGAAAGAGTATTCATAATATTCCCTCATCAGTCCACTGCAGCTTTAGCTAGAGAGATGCATATCTGAAAGCCATCAGCTTCTACCCCATTGTACGGTCTATTCAAGGTGTGGCTAAAGATTAAAAAGCAAGTGTCAGATTTCAAAAAATTAAAAGGCATCTGTGCTAGTTAGTAAATTTTTGTAACTATGTATATCCTAATTAAAAGGTCTGACTTAAGACTGTTACACAGAAAGGGAAAAGATAGGCAAAAAATTTAATTAATTTATCATGACTATTCAGATTTTTAGTGATTTCAGGCAAATTTGAAAAACAGACAATTCTGCTTTCACAGTTTCTCAGAATAGTAGTATTCTTTTCATATGCAGAAAAGTTTTGTATGTGTTCACAGGAAACAAAGCATTAAACAGTTACAATACGTGTTGACAATTTAGACACAACTGTTAAAAATCCTGGACACAAATTATTACAATACATACGGTTTAAGCTGAAGTTCGACTGCCTTGGCCATTTGCTTCATTTAATGGAAACAGGTAATAAGAGTATTAACCATCCATTAATTTGATTTTTTTCAAGTACTCTATGATCAAGGGTTTACCAGCAACCACCAGTTTTAAAAGCTGATCTACTTGAATTCTTCTGTTTTTCAGAAAGCATGTGCAGGATGAACTAGTTTATCTACTAAACCAGGAGAAGCCCGTAAAGACCACAGATTTAAAAATGGGCTTCTCTAAAACAACAAGAGCGGGACTGCACCCATGAGCTGAGCAATGCCTATTTCCTATTTGCAAGGATCTGAAGATGAAACACATGAATCTTATTCTGAATGCACAGTATTTCTTGCTCGATATGAAATGGTGCATATTAGACTTCAGTAAAAGCAAGAAGTCTGAAAACAAACATATGACACATCCTCAGCCTTTCAGTTGGGCAAAGCAACAAACACTGGGCTGCACAGCAGCATCAGATCTCTGATGGCAATTTAAAACTTGCATTTGTGAGCAGTACAGTCCTGAAGCATAAGGTTTACAGCCACTTATACTGGACAAAACTTGCCTTGACTGTCAAACTGTTCAGCTGCTGTCCTGAATGAAAACATTCTGATGTATCTGCAAACAACTTCAGCACATTCTTCGTATCTTTAATTCTAAACATCATGATGCTGCTCAGGACAAAGAATGATGACTTAAGTTCAAACGCTGTCCTGGGTTTGAGTGAGTGGTGGGGTTTTCTGGTGGCAGGGGAGGGGGCTGTAGGTGTGGCCCCCTGTGAGAGGCTTCTCGAAGCTCCCTCAGCTCCAAGTCAGCTCCGCTTCTCTTTGGAAACTGAGCCAATCAGCTGTGCCTCTGCGATAACGTATTTAAGAAGGGACGTGGTGACGGGCAGTGGGACTTGTGAGGAGGAGTTGCTGCAGCTGCATGAACACCAAGGTCAGTGGAGGAACGGAGGAAGAAAGGAGGGGGGAGGTGTGCCGGAGCAGAGACCCCACTGTATCCTGTGGTAAGACGGCAGGGCGGCCCCCCCCTGCCACCCATGGAGATCTACAGTGGAGCAGACACTGATTTGTGGCCTATGTTTCATTTTGCATGGCTGATCAAAGTGCTGTGCCCGAAGAAGGCCGGGCTCTTGTGGGAAAAGATAGCCCCGCTGCTGTAATTCAGTGCTGGGAGGATTGCAGCATGCGGGGGTGTCCCACGCTGGAGCAGCTCGGGAAGGGCTGCAGCCGTGGGAGGGAATCCAGTCGGAGAAATTTAGTGACCCACGATGGAGCAGTGTGGGGAACGCTGTGGCCCATGGGAGGAACTCACATCAGAATGATTTTGTGGAAGACTGTCTCCTCTAAGAGGGGGACCACTGTGCAGCAGGGGGAACAAGTTCCAGAAGCTCCCCCCACCGAAGATGGAAGAAGCAGCAGCACTGACTGCACGCCTCCCCCCTCCCCCCCCCCCCCCCCCCATTCCCTGCCTCTGCGCTGCTGGGGGGAGGAGGTAGAGATACTGGGAGCAGAGCTGAGCCTGGGAAGAAGGGAGGGGTGGGGGGAAGGTGTTTTCAAGATATGGCAATGCTTCTCACTGTCCTACTCTGTTAAGTGTTGTTAGTGTCTGTAATAAATGTATGTTCTTTTTTTTCTTCCCCTAACGAGTCTGCCTTTTGCTTGTGACCATGAAGGGTGATTTTCCCGCTCCCGGTCCTATCTCTGAACCCCAAGCCTGGCTCATCTGGCCCTTTGCATTGCCGGAAGAGAAAGGGGAGAGAGTGGCTGCGTGGTGTTTGGGTGCCGACCAGGCTCAAACCATAACAAATGCTCATGCAGGTATGCAGTAGTCCATGAAATCCCTCCTTCAGTTCCCTCTGATGCCTAGAATCCAATGTGAGTTGCCCTGATAGAAACAAGTGTATATGGGTATTTGACTCACACATATACTTAGGTACTTGTTAAACACTAGTAGGCCAATTATTTTCTCAGTTATGAAAGCCTAAAGGATGACTGATGTTCCTTAGAAAATTGAATGGGAGAATGGACTAAGTTGCGGGAAAAAATAGAATGTCAGCAGACATTGGCTTTTTGACATCAAGCCCACGCTATTTGAAAACATCAAGAGAAGAAAGGTGAAATTAATTTTATTTTTAGTTATACTTTAAATTTAGCAACTGAACAAAATGTTTAAACATACCCTTCAGAACAATG